CCCCCCCCCCAGTGCCTTGGGACAGTCATGCAAATGTGTGTCCCCTAAGGAACGAGCCTAGTGTGAGCTCCTTCACTGCAAAGGCCAATGCAAGTAACTCACCAAGCTTTTCCGTGATGGCTCTTTCCTTCTCACAGAGCCTGATCACGTCCTGTCCCTGGGGCTCTCTGGAGAGCTTTCTGATTGTCACATAGTCAAGATTAATTTTATGCCTTTAGGATGATTTCCTCAAATCTTCTGTGGCCTGCCTTTAACCTGTAACTTTCCAGAGCTTGTATTCATTTTTTTACTCTCTCATCTGTATGCAACTTTCACTTCTTTTAAGGCCATGCCACTTCAGGTGTTCATTTCCACTCCCCTGTATAAGAACATCACCTTTTTCAAGGCCAGCCTACCTCTCATTTCCATTTTGACATTAAAGTTACTGCTTTTGCTCTCACCGGGACAGTCTGATCAGTAATTACGGCCCCGTGTCCCCTCATTTGTTACCTTTCAACTAAGCCCTGTGCATGGTTCAGGAGTCACTTGGGTAACACAGTGGGGGGGTTACACCATCCCACTGCCTCCCCCAGGCTTCTGAGGTGCAGCCCAATGATTAAAACGTTTGTGTAGGAAGAAGGAGACAAGGGATCCTGGCTCCCTCCGCTTGCTGCATCCAAGTCACTGACACAGGAGCCATGGGTGAGGTTGAAGAGGAGAAAACCCTGGAAAGCAGTGTTACCCAGAGCACTGGACTCTGGCCAGCTGGAAATTTGGGAGTCATGTAAGTCCTGCGTCCCAGCTGCAGAGCCGCCAAGTTCCTTGACCCTGAGCACAAGGCCTGAGAACGTCCAAGGCTGCAGCTGGGACATGGTGCTGCTCCTCACGCCTGCTCTGTGCCCGCAGCAGGGACCTGCTCCCCTTCCAGCAGCTGGGCAGCGTGGGGCAGGGGCCAGCCCACCCCGAGACATGCACGCTCACCACTTGCACACGCACAGCACCCTTGGGAACAAGGCCGAGCCCTGGTTCACTTGTGTCCATAAGGAAAGCCCAGATGAGCCAGCAGTGACAGGCATTTTCAAGTCAAGGCAAGTATTTCCATGGCGTTTATGCTACTATAGGTACTAAAGTGAGAGCCTGGATCTGAACAGCAGCATCCCTGCAGTGGCCCGTCCCCACTCAGAGCAGACCATCAAGGACAAGGCACAAGCTGTGTGTTTGCAGAGACCTACTGCAGGCAGAGCCATTACCCCAGGCACATCAGCAACTGCTGCTGAGCTTCCAGGAGCTCCGCTATCCAAGCGGCACCGGTGCCACCCTGTGCTCTGTGGGTGCAGCCTCAGCACAGGCAGCTGCGTGCTGTCTCTGCTCTCCTGTGTCCATCTACAGCACAGCCGCTTGCCCATGTGCATTCCTTTAAGTGTCACCAAAAGGCGTAATCTGTGAACAGCTGCAGTTGGGTTGGCAATGTGCAGGAGACAAACACCATTTCAACACAAAGTGGGCACAAAGAGACCAGTCACAGGATTTTATTTAAGGCCTGAATTCAAGAAATTGCCTGCATTACACCATTTTCACCTGGATTCGCATGCTGGATCCAGGCAGCAGAGCACATGGTTTCTCCTCACCCACCTGCATCTTTGATCACTTGACAGAATCACCTGCCATGCGAAGAAGTGCACCTCTACCTCCACATTAGCCGTGCAAGCACCCCGCTCCTCTCCCACACGTATGTTCATCCTTGGCCCAGAAGAGCATCTGAACGGTGAATCAAACTCTCTCCTGCCCACCCTTTTTGCTCTATGTGCCCTGCTGTGGCACTGCCTTTCCCAGCTTGTGAATGGCCCCATTCTCCAGCACTTCCACCTTCCCCTCGCCTGGCTGCAGCACGCTGGCCACCATAGCCCTGGCCACTGTTTCCACAGGCACCGAGTAAGCAGTGGGGAAGACCCAAGACACAACACCCAGAAACTGCTGGGCCATCCACTCCATGGGGCGGGACTCCTGGCGCTTGCACAGCAGCACCCTGCAGAGCGAGGAGGTAAGGTGGGTCAGGCTGAAACCATCCCCCCAGGGAAAAACTAAGGACTGGGTTCTCCAGCTGTGCTGGGGACCCAGCCCAGCTTGCTAAACCCACAAGGGGACAATGGGACTTTGGCAGGGTCCCGAAACATGACTGAGCCAAGCCCTGGGACACTAAACTCCTTTCCCTGCAGTGCTGCCAAAAGCAGGATGCCAGTTCTCCCAGGCAGCAAGAGCAGGTGAATATTCCCCTGCATAAGGTCAAAGTCTGCGTGGAGATAAGCTCCCCCAACCTCTGCTCTCAACCCAAGCCTCTTCTCCTTGCATGGCACGTGACACTAGCATCAGGACGGGCCATGGGAAACTGCTGTTCTTGCTCCCTGCAGCATTGGGAAGCACTGCGCATGTCCAGGAGCTGCATATGCAGCTCCTGGCTTTTTCCACTCTCCTCCCCAGCCCTCCCCTTATGCATCCTTTCTCCATTTTCCAACCCGCAGCCCTGGCAACCCTCCACCTGAGTCCCGTGCCCTCCGTCCTCCACTGCTACTCACGCTGGCCGGAGAATGGTACAGCGATCAAAACCAATAGCCTGGACCAGGTCCTCCACTTCTCCCTGTCAGAGCAGCCGAGAAGGATGAAAGGAGACAAAGATGACTGCAAGCACCATCCCTGCTGCCCCGGGAATTGGCAGGAGAGAGTTGCTGAGCCATGGGCAGGATGGCACTAATGCCAATGCAAAGCTGGTTACAGGCCAGGCAGCCAGCAGCTCTCCAGGAAAAGGCAGCATAGGGCAAGCGTCCACGGTGGACACATTGACTGTGAGTCAGCAGCGCACCCTTGCAACCATCGTCCTAACTGCAACTGGATGCTCCTGAGACAGCACTTGGACATGGTGTCCAGCCTGGGGATCCTGGCACAAGATGCCAGCAGACAGCAGTGAGTCCAGCAGACGTTAGGAGCTGCAGCACACAACATACGAGAATAAAAACTTTCGCGATGGGTGTGGTCCCACCCGGGGAGCCTGTGGGCTCTTCACCCCCAGATAGTTCACGTCTCACCTGGACACAGCCCTCGGCCTCCCCACCTAGCTGTGAAGCCACCCCAGCTTAGGACTGGGGAGATGGGGTCGGGCTGGAGACCCCAGCAGGTCTTTCTGGTGATTTGAAGAGGGAGACGGATGCTGCACGCGGGTGCTGTGCTGCTTTGGCCGAAGCCAGTCGCATGGCTATCCTGCCAGCCCCCTTCCCTCCCCGCCTCGACGCCTGGCACCAGCAGGACCCTCGGAGCCATCTGCACCCGACACCTCAGCTCCCGCTTCCTCCCTGAGCGTCCCAGGAGGAGCCCACCCCGGCTGCCCCCTCACCTTCACACGGAGGTAGAGGAAGGGGCTGCGTGGGTTCGCCCCCCGGGACGACTGCAGCACGAAGTGTTTGCAGCCCCCGGCCCACGCCAGCTCTGCTGCCTGCGCGACGTAGTCCCGGTCCACG